CCCCGCCCCGCGGGGGGCCGGGGGAAACCAACGGCCTCCCCCGCCTCCCGCAGAGCTGCCGGGCCGCACCCGCGGGGCCTTGCGGCCGGAGAGAGGGTCCGCGTAAGGCGGCCCAGCCCGCTCGGCCATCACCCCAGAGTGCTTCCCAAGGTCGCGCAGCAGCCTCAAAGGGCTCCAGGGTCACTGTCCCCCGTCCCCCCCCGCCGCTGTGCAGAGAAACGGAGACGATCCCGGGAAACGCATCCACGCACGTACTTGCTTTCAAACTCAAACCCCCACCCACCTTCAAGGCTTTGGTGAGCGAGGCCCAAAAATCACCACAGACACGCTTAGCAGCGGCAGCCGTCATCTTCAGCATTACGTGAACTAACTCCATAGGGAAGTGTTACTAACACAGATGATGGATTATTTAACAGCCTATTCTTTAAAGCACCCAGTTCAGACAGCCTCCCTCCCTGCCTTACATTTGACCTGGAAGTTCACCTGTTTCCTGGAAATCAGAATTTAACCACCAGCTGTTCAGATCACTGTTCACATATCAAGCTCGCAGTGCCTACTGTAAAACAATGCACTGCAGGGCGTTATGTGATTACATAGTCCAGGGTTCAAAGCGCTTTCAGAACTTTTGTGGGAAAGTGGTTTCAACTTTCTAAAATAGCAGCAAAGTTGTTCTAGTAACACCAAAGACCTCAAAGACCTCCTGCCGTTGCCCTCACAAACCACCCTTCCTGAGCACTGCTCAGTGCCCAGCGTATGGCCCAGCTCAGTGACAGCACAGCTACGTCTCTTGAATCCTCATCTGCGCTGTGCCTGCTTTCAGCCCTGACAGCCAGGTTTACCAAATGCATTCCAGAAAGATGCAGTTCTCCAGGACCCAATCCTAATACTGCCCCATATTAACTCCACCATCAATTGTAATTCCAGTAAAGTCACAACAAGTCCATACATTAGTTTGCATAAATAAATTTTAAAAGTGCATTTGAGCAACAAGTCACACCTCTAGTACAACTGTAACTGATAGTTTACACACACACTAAATTATGACAGCTTTGGCCAGGAAACTTAGTAAACTAATAAGCCTTAAACTAATAAGGCTTAGTTTAAATCGTGAATCACACTGCTTCCATTTTGAAAGAATACAAGAATCTCTGGGATCTTTCTGGCAGGAAAAAAGTCTTTTTTTTTAAATCAAGAAGGAAGCACTATGTAGGAGGCAGCACTGTATCTAAACATGATGTGCATCTTCTAGAACTCAAAGGTAGTTCTCATTGGCTTCACAATCCCTTTTAGAATGAGTTATTCTGCAAGCAGCAGAAATTCATCAAGTCCCATTTCCCTGTGGCTTTGTATCTCATGCTTGAATTATCTTCTGCCTAGTAAGGTGTCAGTTTTAACTGGGGCATTTATAGCATTTCTTTGGGTGGACTCTTGGATTTGTAATAACAGCCTTGGCTAATTTGCCACCACTGCCAAGGTAGAGTTACTAAGCTGTTTTTGGCTCCATCCAGCTGTCTATTTTCAGCATCTTTGTGCAAGCAACATATTTAAGATCAAATTAGGTTGAAATTGAGGCTCTGAGCAGACAGGAAGGCAACACACAGGCATCTTGTTTCCTCAGGTAACCAGGCGAAGAAAACTATTGTAACTAAGCCATCTGGACACAATCCTGGGCAATGTGATCTCGGTGACCCTGCTTGAGCAGGGGAGTTAGACTAGATCTCCAGAGGTCCCTTCCAACCTCAACCATTCTGTCAACTACACAGAACAGGCAAGTCAGAAACATAAGGCTAGTACAAGCCTCAAGCAGTCATCTAGCCCATCTTTCCTCACTTGGCTGGAATAAAAATCCACCTACAGAAAACACTAATTCTCTTAAGTGAAGAAATTTCTTATTTTTAAACCATAAGTCATTGTGAAAGCTGTCTGGCACTGCAGTGTTACATAGAAGCTTTGCCTTCTATACCTAAACTGTACATCCCTAGTTGTGTAGACTTCAGAGTGAGAAAGTTCCCTCTAATATTCAATGGATAAGCCCTGCTATAAAGACAAATTAATACCCTGTCCTAGGAATAAGACCTTCCCTTCTCTGAGTACTGCCCTCATGAATGGTACTTGACTACTAGCAAAGGATAAGTAAAGGATAAAGCAAAGGATAGGCAAAGAACAGGCTCCAGCATGAAAGTAACACATACTGCTTTTCATCTCTTGTTTTAAAGACTTGACCTCAAGTGTTGAGAAAAATAAAGCTGCATGATTAGGTGCTTCCTATTTAGTAAGAGAGTAACAATAGGAGTCTGGCCTTCAGTTTAAATCCTTACCCGAACAGGAAAAAAGGTAACCTCTTGTTACCTTTAGTAACACAAAGACCATCCACTATCATTTGCCAGATCTAACAACTGAAGAGCCTTTAAGAAAGAGCGAGTTACAAATTAAATTTAGAAGCTTCTAAGTAACCTAGAGGCAAACTATAGTATACTATACTGATGGTTTTTTTAACTTAAGATCTTTGGAAAAGTAGTTTAATGTTATAATTAGTATAATGGTCATACATATTAAATGTTTAATTAAAAGCCCAACATAATGCAGTTAGAAGTATCAACTTTGTCCTTCTGCTAGACAAAACATGCAATAACTATTTTTCTTTCTATTAAGCATGCAGTTATTACACCTTAAATTATGCAGAATGTGCAAACTCAAATTAATGGTGCTGCCTAGTCAAGAAAACCATGGCAATAAACATTAAAAGGTATTTTGTATCTGTGAAAGCCTTCCAAAGCATGATCACAGACCTTCCATATTAAAAAGAAGAAAGAGAAGTTCATGCGTCTTTTGACATCTACAACCTACCCCCCCACACCTCTCAGCTCTTGCTGAATGCTTTATTTGTACTTTCACACACATGAGCAATTTCACACCATAACAGTCCACTTGAGGCAGTGGGGCTTTTCAAGCATCTGTAGTTATTTACACATACAAAAAATGGAAACCTTCAACTCTGAGCTCCTTGGGGAGCTGAACTTATCTTTATATGTTTGCAAAGCACCATGGAAATATGTGGCCCTGTAAATGCAGAATGCATTGTTTCCTGTCAGTATTGTTAAATTTGGTTGAGGTCAGACCAATTTGCAAGACTACTTGGTTTAAGCCAGATGATCTTGTCCTACACCATAACAAGACTGCAAAATACACTTTATTCAAAAGAAAACCTAATTAAAGTAGAGATTTAAATTTGAAACTGGACAGCAGACTATGTTAACAGACGGGACCAATATGCAATTCGGCTCTTTTTGATTTACAAATTGTATTTAGAGCAATAAGCTTGGTTAATCACAGCTATGCAGAATTACATGTTATTAAAGAATATTTACAGGAGATAATGCAAAGCTCTAGGCATGCTCAAGTAGCTGTAAGTTTTGTGAGAATCATTTTACTGGCAGTTATCAAGAAAACACCACATGTAAGTATCAGGCAGCAGTTGTTGGAAAAACAGGCCAAAGTTGTGGTTAGCAAGTGAAATTCAAGCCCTGTTCACATAGCTCTACCTCACTGAATAAAACTTCTTAATCCTGGAGATTGTTTCTTAAAAAAAAGAAGGGAAACATCCCATTTTAGCACACCTATACAAGTGCAAACTTCACAAAGGAAGTCTGGAAGTTGTAAATACACTAGGCATATTCCTAAGAGATTCCAAACTTCTTACTGCATGTATGTTATTTATAGTGCTAAGAATAGCAAAGAGTTAGAAGCCTTCTTTTAGCTAGAGTATTTAATTAACAAGCAGCATGCCATCAGATAAGCAATTGGGAAAGCAAGCTCTTCAGCAGCCCCTCCGTGCCAAAGGACAGTGCTTGGTCAGGAGCCCTCTGAGCCACCACTCCCCAAAGCCCCAGCTGATCAGCAGCCCCCAGCACTCAGCTAAGCTCCCAGCATTCATTGTTTCTTGAAAACTCTGGAAAAAGAGAAGGAAATCAGCAAGAATTGGCAGTTTCCGTAGTCTACACCAAAAAGCCATTAACTCCAAGCTCTAAAGAGACATCATACCTGTACTCTTTTACCAGGCAGAGGATCCCACAGCCCCACCCCAGCTAAGCAGGTCTCCTCCTCTTGACCCAACAAGGCTCAGCAGTTTTTCAGACACAACAACCCAAGTATTTCATTCTAGCTTAAACCTAGGGCCTGGCTCCACAAATGTGGGGGGAGTTATGGGGAGAGAGCTGCCCCAATTCATCAGGCAGCACAGCCCCAACGCCCTCACCATCTCCCAGGCACAGAGGCGACACAAGCCGGCAGAGCCAGCTGCCACACTACGCTGCGGTGCGCCAGGAAACATTTCAGGGTGGCCCCACCACGCTGCAAGCTGCTTTGAGAGGAACAGGTCACATCTGTGCCCACAGGAGGCCAGGCCACACCTGGCAAGCAGGTGCCAGGTCGGGAGGCCAGAGGGAAGCTCCGCAGCTGAAGGCCTTCCTGTGGCAAACACAGCACAGCCCCACACTGCTTTTACCCTCTGGCTTAAAAAAAAACCAGAGCAACAAGACACTACAGGGGAGCTCAGCTGAGCAGCAAAGCAAACGAAGCAAAGCAGCAGCTATGCAAAACCGCACGCACTGCGCCGAGAAACGCCTCTGAGCGGAGCGGGGTCAGGAGCAAGAGGCACTCCCCAAGGCGGCAACCGGCCGGCCCCGCTGCCCCGCGGAGCGCTCCCCCGCCGCCCCGCTCCCGCCCGCAGGCGCCACCCAGCAAAACACGAGCGCCGCCGACGGGCTATAAATACAACCTCGCATGCAAATGAACACCTATCTGACCAATGAAGATCTGGATTATGGCCCAGAGCCCCGCCTATGTGGTCCTCCATTGGTTTTTTGTTTTAGCCAATCAGCAGCCAGCTTTGGAGGTTCGTCTCCCCCCGCCCACCCCCCCGAGGACTACAGGC